ATAAAAAACACATTTACCATATCATTTTAAATGTATAGTTTTTGCTTTTTTATTGTTTAAAATGGTAATTTAAATAGCTAAATTATTTCAATTTGAAAATAGATCTAATTTATATAGATAACAGAACTTTTATATGGATGATTAATTTATATTCCAAATAATGGCCTGGTTTTTTTTTCTGGCCCTTTAAAAGAGTATTGATAGCTGATCTCTAATTTAAACCATATTAAGTGACATGAATTTTTGTTTTGTTAATCTTTACCTGCATTTTGTAGTTCTTTCGGCTAAGTTAGTTATTAGCATTGATGTAAAATACAATTTCAAAAAAACCTCTATATGAAGCCCTTTGTACCATCTGTGTTTTAAAGTGATGAGGAAGTCAAAGCACTCAGTGTTTAATGGAGCTACGTTTGAAGTAGAGGTTTGGCATTTGTAAGGAAAGTCCCTTCAGTTTTAACTTTTTTTTTTTTTTTTCCCTTCAGTTTTAAATTTTTTTTTTTTTTTTTTTAACCTGGGTGCCCTGGGCTGGATAGCTGCTCCTCATGGCCTTTTAACTGTCAGAGCCTCTGCCACCAGCTCTGCCTGGGACTTGACATGTCTGAGTGACAGGGTGGTTGTATGCACATTTGTGAGTTAACCACCATTTGAAATGATGCTGCTTTAGAGTTTTTTCAAAGCACAATAGATTTTTGAAATTTTGGGTAGCTGGAAAATTTTCAACTTTTACTTTTGAAAGTGTCTTGGAAATGATTTATTCTGTAATCCACACTATTTATATAACCGCAGTAACACTTAAACTTCAAGGAAATTTTTTTTTATAATTCACCGTAGGGATTCTGACTTCTGCCATATCTTGGTATATTCTAACAAAGTTATACAAAATGTTTGTGAGTTATTTTCTATACCATCAAAACGCACTGCCAGTGAAGATTGTAAAGATACAACACACTTTTTTGGAGGGGGATACAAATTGTTAAAATTTATGTTAATTTGTGAGTAATAAAAAGCTCGTTTGTACAATTTTTTAATAAATTCCTATTTTGAAAAAAATGCTAAAATGTCTCATTATTATAAAAATCTTATAAAAATTTTTTGCCAGCTATCTTTGTACCACAGTAACAAGACATAAGAAGTTTCATAGCTATAAAAACAATTATTTAATTAAAAATAATTATTTAAAGAATCAGTTTAAGCACAAATGAAATCATAAGAAATGAAGGAAATCTGGGGCAAGCTGATGTCTTTAGTGGGTTAGTTCATTAGAACTTCAGGTATGTCAAACTGAAGGAAAGTAATAATATTGGAAAAGTATACTGTCCTATTTTGTTTCTGATAACCTGTTATAGGCTACCTACCAAGTTTTCAAACCACGGTAGCTCACCAGTGCTATAGATCAATTGAGTTCCATAGAAGATGAGATAGTAACTGATTTTAACAAAGAAATTACTAGAATATTAGGCCACAAATGGACTTTATTTTTTAAAAATATATTTTATTGATTTTTTTTACAGAGAGGAAGGGAGAGGGATAGAGAGTTAGAAACATCGATCAGCTGCCTCCTGCACACCCCCTACCGGGGATGTGCCGAAACCAAGGTACATGCCCTTGACTGGAATCGAACCTGGGACCCTTCAGTCCCCAGGCCGATGCTCTATCCACTGAGCCAAACCGGTTAGGGCTGGACTTTATTTTTTTAAAAGTATATTTTTACTTATTTCAGAGAGGAAAGAGGAGAGAGAACCATTAATGATGAGAGAGAATCATTGATCGGCTGCCTCCTGCTCACCCCCTACTGGGGATCAAGCTGGCAACCCAGGCATGTGCCCTGACCAGGAATCCAACTGTGATCCTTTTTTTATTTTTAAAAAAGGCTTTATTGTTGCAAGTATTACATAGGTCCTCCTTTCCCCCCTATTAACCTCTTCCAGCCCACTCCCCCCACCCCCCAGGCCCTCACATTGTCCGTGCGCACAGGTTATGCATATATGTATACAAGTTCATTGCAAACAGTTATCTCTTGGTTCATAGGTCGATGCTCAACCACTGATTCACACTGGCTGGGCAGGAATGGACTTCAGAAATCATGTTATCTGAACCCTTTATTTTATCGTATCATAATTATGTTGTTTTTGTGGTGAGAATAATTAGGAAATCCTTGACGAAGGAGCCAATTATATGAAGTCAGTTATAAAATAGTGCCCAGGCCAAAATTTGGGATGCCTGACTCCCTTTCCAAATGTGCTGTTGCTCTATCATAAAGAAAATGTAAATCACTGATTACTTCTCATTTTTCTCTGGTGAACTGGTAGGAGGCTTCTAATGTTAATATTGCAATGATCTCTTCTTTGTGGGGGGGGGGGGGGTTACAATTTTATGCAATGAAAACATGTTTTTTCCAAGTTAATTCTCTGAGGTCCTAGGTTGTTATCCATTTCAAAGAACATAATACTAAAAAAATTCAATATTCATACTTATCTCCATAGCAGCATTTGTATAGAATGTTTTAGTATAAAGTTCACTCCTTGATGTATTTGATACCTGTTATTAAATATCATTAAAACCCCAAGAAGAGATAAACCCTAAAAATAAATGTCAGCATTATTTTCAAATTAACTTGGAGAGCACACCAATTTTAATCACTCATCTTTATTGATAAAATAGGCTCCTATGCACTACACACCTTCAGAATAAATGTAAGGTTCTGCTTAACAAAAAAGTATGGGGTGGAAAACTGTTTCTATATGACAAAGTAAATGTCTTTAAATAGCAAGATCTTAGAATTATATCCAAGTAAGAAGACTAAGAATAAATTAATTCAACTTATTGGTTTACAAAAATAATTATCAAGTAATGTTTTATAATAGAGCTGCCTCAAACTGCCTCAGACAATCTCAACTGTGTAGCTTATTTTCTTTCATTCTAACTTGGGATAAAAACTATATGAATGAATGTGCCATCAAATTAAGGAATACCTTCCCAAAAATGAATAGAAAAGTTAAAAAATAAAAACTGTCATTTATTTATAAAACATTAAGGCCTCTGAATGAGAACAAAAATCAATTTAATGTTTGGGTCAATAGCCCTTTTCTATTCAATCAGCCCTATCAACCCCACTTACCCCAAACTTAAGATAGAAAAATTCTGAAAAGTAGTTTTTAATTTTACCAATATATGAAATTATACATAAAAATTACCATGTAAATATTTAACAAATTTATACTCAAAAGTAAATTTTCTATTATGCTAATTTTAATATGTATTTAATATAAATGAGCATAATATATTTATATCTGACACTTCTTTGATCTTTTTATTCTGTAATCACCAAAAATAAGAAAAAAATTACATTTCAATTGATAAAGCACATTTCTATTTTTGGTGGCTTTTAAAAATTTACATACTGGATATATATTTTATTAAAAAAATAAAACAAATATTCCTAACTCCATTGATTTTTTTGTCCCTCTTTAACTGGAAAGTTATAAGAAAAATCTCATAGGTTATGAGGACCACATGGGTGCTTTTAAGAATAGATCCAGAAATTACTTTTTTAATTTACTTTTTCTATCTCACTTAACAGTTACTTTTAAAAAAGGGACTCTATGAGGCAGAGGATATCCCAACTTACTTTGAAATAACCATACCTAGCTTGCTTTATCAAACATTTCAACTGTTAGCTAAATGAGCTACACAGTATCCTTAAATATCAACCACATAAGAGAAAAATCTCTTCATTAATGATTTAAAAGCAAAACTTATTCTTTCAGAGTAGTTTAACCTACTAAATATGTCTCTTATAAGATCTTCTTTCTTAGAAAGTAGTATTTCTTCTCTTTCATTCCTGAAATGCTATCTCAAATGCTTAGCAATTATGGACAATTGTTTGCTGAGTATTATGGTAAGTTAGCTAAAATTAAATTACCTTTTTTTGTGTATGGTGTATATAAGACATTCCTACAGCCTTTCAAACTGATTTTTTTTTTTTTGGACAAGAATTTAAATTAATGGGAAGGTAGATAGGCAATCATTAAAGCTAAAGTCTCATGGTACATAAGCTATTTGTTAACTTTGACACCAAACAGGGAGGATAAAACTTAGTATGATGATCTTCCACTCACCAAACTGTGGCAAAATGTGTATTTTAAAATTGGGATAACTTCATGAATTCCCACACATTTACTGGGAATATTCCAAGTATCATCCGGAAAGCCAACAGCACTACTGGAAGCTCTTGAAATGTTCAGCAGTCACTGTAAAAATCTTCAATTTGTTCAGCAATTAACAAACTCTTGTTTCTACTTTTCAACTGTATTTTGGAATAAAGTCTATAACCATGAACTATGCATTTTTTGTTGCTACCTCTTAAAAATGTCATTTACAGTGCACTGTACATATTAAAGGGGAAAAAAGAGTAGCGTGAGATTGATTTTCCTGTTAATTCATTAGCGTCAGTAGACCAGTCCCAGGGATCATTTGGAGCCTTGTAAGAAACTCAGACTCTTCAGCTCTTCCTCAGACTCAGGTCGCTATTGGTCACTAATGCTGACAAGGAAGTATTTTCTGATACATCATCTTTTCTAAGGTTCAGAAACGACTCTCGGGTTATTTGAAGGATCTCTCTCAAGCCTTTGTTTTCTTGCTATAAGAAAATAAAGACAAAGATGCAGCCACCAAGTTAGCCAGCTACAAGAGCACAAACATACAGTATAACAAATAAGAAGCAAGTTCTGTAACTGACAGAAATGCACTGAATGATATATATGCAACTGAAGTTGACAACCTGAATCCAGAGAACACTTTAAAGAGGTAGGAATCATGTGTTCAATGGCTTCTACCTCTGCAAAGTCTTCTTATTTATGCAGCTATAATTGTAGACAGAACCTCAGAAATTGCCTTATTTTAACATCTAGATTTATATTTAAATACACTCAGAAAGTTTGTGAGTAATACACTGGGACTACAACCTCTTAGTACTTTAGTACTTTTATTACCTCCATGATAGCATGGAATACAAGACAAGCCATCTGGTTTCTTACCTTACAGGAATTTGACAACAGGGTTGGTTGAGTAAATCATGATGTTTTTCAAAAAGGAAAGTAAGTGACCAAATCTAGACCAAAAGGTAAACAACTTTGCCTTTTTTTTTTTGTAGATATTATAAGAAATGTGCACACATTTAAAAATAATTTTCATAATTTATTCTCTATCACTCTGTCTTTGATTTTACTTTCTAAGTTCAATGGTAAAAGGCAGGGATCAGCAAACTACAGTCTGGCTTGGGGTCTGTTACTGTAAATTAAATCTTACTGTAAATTTTGCATTACAATGGAAGAGTTGAGTAGTTGCAACAGACTATCTAGTTTGTAAAATCTAAAAAATTTACTATCTGGCCCTTTACTGGAAAAGTTTGAATCTTGTATGCTTAGAGAGAGAAATAATTTTGGCCCTGTACAACCATAATTTCAAAATGAAGCTTTTAAAGTACAAAAGTCTATTCTACTGATTCGGCTTATTCAACAATGGTTTATGCTTTTACTACACAAAATAAAGGACAATGATTTATGGGATATATTTTCTGGCATAGATCTTTGAGCAGTTTCACCTACTTTTACAATTTAAAACTTACTTCAAGCTGAAATATTCTTTCCTGTTCCTTACAACCCTGTTGCTCATCAATTTCAATGGCTTTCTTCATTACCGCTGCCATTTCAGTTATCTGGTCAATATGTGCTTGTAATTCCTGAAAAAGAGAGATGGGAGTTGCAAATTAGTGAAATACTGTATTATTGTTATTTTTGGATCCTCTCCTCTTTATAAAATCTTTACTGCCACTTAATATGAATGTAATATTCACATACTGCCATTTAACATGAATGTAATTAATATAATAAACAGATATTTACAAGAAAGCTGACTGACCATGATCGTGCTTTTGAAATCAGATTTTAGGACTAGAATTAAGACTAAGCAGCATAATTTAAGTAAACCCACTCGTAAGAAGAGAGCTCATATTTCACATTCCTTTCACTACAAATGATCAGCAACTTTTCTTTTTTGCACCTACCTATATGACTTGTCAAAGTAATGGGAAAGATAAAACTTTCTGACATATTCCACCTCTTTTCCCTGAAGTTTTCATGATTTATAAATCTTTTCTGTACTACCCATACCTAAAAATCGATCTCAATCCAATCTAGAACTTTCTCCATTATAATCCTCTTTGACAGCAGAAACTGTATCTTGTTTATATTTGCCTATTAGTGTTCAGTACATAATAGATAATACATACTGAGTAAAATGAACATAGTTCTGCTTTTAAGTATTAAAATATTAAATGGCCTTCTTTGCAAACTTCAAAATACAATTTCAGTATAAAATAGTCATCCACTTTTTTAGTACAACAAGTAACACAAATTTCTTCCAATCCCATTCATTTTTCTTTTTTTGCACACCTGTACTAGGCAACAGAAATATGAATTCTGTTAAGACATGTTCCCTGATTTTAAGGAGCTTACAGTCAAAGTGAAAGATACAGACAAAACATTTAAAATCAACATAAACTTAAGAATAATAATTTTTTAAATGAAAACCTTCTACAAACCATTGTTCACTGGCACTTGAGGGTTCTTTTACTATATTAAGACCAAAAGTTAAATATAAAAGTTAATAGCTCTCCAAATAAACATTAAGCCTCTTAAGGAGTTGTATATTCTCTAACGGTAGAATGGATTTGAGTAGGACCCCCTCCCCCCCAAAAAAAACCACACACAAAAAAACAAAAAACCAAACAAACTAGCAAACTATGGAGGAAATAAGATGAAGAATAGGAATATCTTTAGCAAACACATTTAATACTTTCTTAACCAACAAAAATGTAGGTCCTTTCTATACAATTCTAGTACACAGAAAAGGCAAAATATAGATCTGACATCGTCCAATATGGTGCTATTGAAATTTACATGAATTAAAATCAAATACATTTAAAGAAATTAGCAATTCAGTTCCTCAGTTGTAGTAGTGACACTTTAAGTACTCAAAAGCCACATGTGGCTCTCAGCTTCCATATTGAACAGTGCAGATAAAGAACATTTCCATCATTTCAGAAAGTTCTGTTGGATGTCCCCAAATTAGATTATGGTAGCAAGAATGATATCAAGACAAACATCTGTCATATTCTTAAAAATGATTAAAATCCCTCCCAATATAAAGGAAGCATGTAATGTTTAAAAGTAAGTTAAATACAGATAACTGCAGGGACAAATTGAATAAGGGTAATGAGTAAAAATTTTGAATATGAACAGCTATCTCAGTTTATGATTTGATATCCTATGGGACTGACCTAGGTTAAATGACTACACAGGAAGCAAATAATTCCGTGCCTTTAAAATGGAAAACAAGATACCACCATTTTTTTTTTCTTCAGGACAGAGTCTAAGAAAATCATCATGAAAAAACCCCCACCCAATTCTTCAATCAGAGCAGTATTTTTATAGGCCAAGTTCATGGATGATTCACTTATTACAATAAAATCTTTGGAGAAGTATCATAGATCTTTTATTGGGCACAAGAGGCCAGACCTGTGTTTTCAAAACTAACGGCAAGAAGTGTTAGCAAAATAATCCTTGAACTGTCTTGACATGCCTTTCACTTGTAACTTTTTTGCTTAGGTTTATTTCAACTTGGCTCAATAAAGACCAGCTATAAGTAAGGTAAAAAACAAACAAACAAACAAACAAACAAACAATAGACAGACAGCTAAAACACAATGGAGAGTATACTATACTACACTTAATAACACATATACAAAGGCATTTTATTATAAACTCAAACTAAAGGACAACAAACTGTCAAAAATCTGAGTTAAAACAGTTCATTTAATAATTTGAACAAAATTTTTATGAAATCAGACTAAAATGACTGCCAAGAACATATCTTTGATGTCCAGAAAGAGAATAACTGTTTAAAGTTTACTAAATTTGCAGCAGCAGTAAGGGCAACAAAATGAAAAGCTCGCCCGAACAACCTTTAAGGCCTGCCCTTATCTAACAGGATGTGTATGATACAATACACAGAGAATCAATGACAGATTTAAAGTTTCTACACTGAATATTTTTGCATGGCTAGCACAGCATTTTGAAACTTAATTTTATTTATGTGCTGATTTAATCTGGTAGAAAAATTCAATGTAAAAAACTCTTTAAATGGACCCCCCCCTTCCATCCGCACCCCCAAAATTGACTGTTTTATATAGTGTACATTCTGATTTGCTTCCAAGTGCCTTCTCTCCAGTCCATGTTGAGGTGCTTCAAGGATGTGTCGAGATGCATCAAGGAAGAATCCTTCGGAGCTGTTACGATGTACCATGTCAATCTGTAGTACAGAGTCATTATAATGTTAATACGGATATTATCCGTAATTTAAAAACTGAATGAGTGTTAGTTCATGCGTGTTAGCCAACTGTTTGAAATGTTTGCTTTTTTAAGATTTCCAAAAAGGCATCTGTTCAAAAATAATGAATAAAATGAATATTTGAATGAAAATTAGTTCTCATTTTGATTTTTAAATGTGTGCTCAAAAACTTTCAGATTAAGGGCAAAATTCTATATTACAGTAGTCCCAAAAGGGTCTCTTACTTCAAAATGCTGTTATGTGTGACTCTGTTACCCCTAAATGTGTTATAAAATTATTTTTGGGTTTAGGTATGTCAGAGCACTAGTACCTAAACATGTCCTAGAATCTCCTATTTCTGCACCTTAATCATACCAGTTTCTCTGCTCACCTACCTCTGCTTGTTGATGCCCAACCCCCACTAATTAATTCAAAACTGAATTTAGTTGGATTTCTTCCTTTCCTTACTCCTTCCCAGATGCTCTTCATGAGAACTAATCTTGCTTCCTCTACTATTCCTGTAATAATTCATATCTCTATTTTAGGATTCATCACATTTGACCTTATATCTGATAGTTATGTTTGTATCTGTATCTCCCATTACACTGTAAGCTCCTATTATAGAATAATGGAACTTATTCATTCATTCATCCTATTATTAATAATAACTAAGCCAGTGCAAATGTTAATAGATGTTTGTTTAATTGAGTCAAAGTGTCTCCTTTTTGGGGAAAATCAAAATCACAAACATTAATATGTGTTAGTTAGAATTAATAACAAGTAACTGAATAGTCATTTTATGGAAGGTAAGGATTGGCACATATGATGACGAACTTAATTTATATAATAAAAAAAGATGGTTTACAACTATCTTAAGAAATGTTTCATTTTGCTAATTAATAAAACAGCTCTCTGGTGAATGGTAAAATCTCATGTGTTTCAGAAAACATTCACTTCTGTCAGAGCTACTACCAGATGGGAATAGCAAGCTGCAGTATCTTACTCTAAGCACTTTTTTTGGTCAAAGTATTCTTCTCTTTAGATCTTAAAAATTTATTTCTTAGATTATTTTTATTTTTTAAAATGTATTTTTATTGATTTCAGAGAGGAAGGGAGAAGGGGATAGAAACATCAATGATGAGAGATAATTATTGGTCAGCTGCCTCCTGCACACCCCTCACTGGGGATTGAGCCTGCAACCCGGGCATGTGCCCTTGACAGGAATTAAATCTGGGACCCTTCAGTCCGCAGACAGACGCTCCAGTGAGCAAAACCAGTCAGGGCTATTTCTTAGATTATTAAACAGAAGGACTTCTGAAATTTCTCAAGATTACATTTCTTGCCCTAACCGGTTTGGCTCAGCGGATAGAGCGTCAGCCTACGGACTCAAGGGTCCCAGGTTGGATTCCGGTCAAGGGCATGTACCTTGGTTGCGGGCACATCCCCAGTAGGGAGTGTGCAGGAGGCAGCTGATCAATGTTTCTCTTTCATCGATGCTTCTAACTCTCTATCCTTCTCCCTTGCTCTCTGTAAAAAAATCAATAAAATATATTTTAAAAAAATCACATTTCTTTTAACAATAATTTTTAAGTCAATTCATCTTTGTACCTTTAAAAAACCTCTTAAGTTATACATTTAAATATAAATATTTTTATAATAATCTCATTAACAATAGATACATTTTACACTCAAAAGATTGCTACTTAAATATCCAACATTTTCCTTTTGGTTAGGAGACGAATACAGCATAATTAACTAACATTCAACTCGTATTTATTAATTTACTACTTTACTATTTGACACAAGACTACTAACTTCCTCAAATATGCAAAGTTGTCACACAAAGATCTATTTACTAGGTATTTAATTTTAATAGAATTAATAATTTAAAAATATCTACAAGCCCCAAGATGGAAGAAACATTTCAAAAAATCTAAAATGTGTTTCAATAGTTGAGAAAGATAAAAATGTCTTATAACAATCAATATTTCTTAAATAATATTAGTTATAACCACTAATAGTTAGCTCACCATTATCCATTAAAGAAAATGGCCTCATAATTACAATCTATTCTAATATTTTTATTCCATACCAGCAGTTAAAATTCAGTTTAAAATAAAAGGTAAATGGTAAAGATTATTCTACTTGTCTTCATAGCAGTTGTTAGCAAACACAAGGGACATACACAAAAGGAACAGACACAGGAATGACAAATGAACAGAAGGAAAAACACTAATTTTTAACCAGTTTAGCTATCTCTAAACATTATGTTCCTGATTGATATGTGATTTGGGGGGAGGAGAGCAAATTTTTAGTATGTTGGTTCTTTTCCTCTCCCTGACCCCCTGTTCTTTCCATTATAATCAAGATGATAGTTTGGATGAATCAGCCTTATTTAGAAAATAGTTTTAAGGAAAACAAATCTATCTTTATCTGTGTTCAATTTTTTAAAAAAGTTTTTAGCATTCCAATTTTTGTTTTTGCAACAGATGTCAATACAGAAATCTATTTAAAGAAATATTTCTTAAAAGCAGACAACCTTATAAAAATAAATTTGAATTGAATACTTACCTTTATTTCCCAAATAAAGTTTACTTTTTAATATATATTAAAGCTACTAGGAACAATGGTAGTTAGAAGAGTAAATAAAATAAAATGATCTATAACAAGAAATGAAAAAAATAAGTTAACCAATTGTCCTTCTATTCCATTTCCAATTATATTTATAGAATGGATTACCTTTGAGTGCTGCTCTTTTAACTTCATTATTATACCCGGGTCATCTTTTTTGCTAGCCATTAGCAATCTAAACATTTGTTCACGATACTTGCTCATTATAAGTTCCAAGGCAGACTGATGTTCTTCCAAGGATGTACGTAATTCTATCAAGAATAACAGTATATTTTATTCAAACTTGAGTTAAAGATGTATAAAATATTCTCTTCCATATTACTTTATTAAAAAAGCAACTTATAAAGAGGGTATTTTAAAAAGAAAACCTGATGAATAACAATCTAGCTATATAGGATAGTATAGAAATAAAAGATACCAAATGAAGTCCTTTATTAGTTTTTAAATTACCATTTAAAACTCATTTTTTGAGAATCATTTCAATACCCATTCAATGAATAACAATTAGGTATCAGATGATGCTCTATATTAGGAAAACCAAAAGGCCATGGAGCTCAGAGTGTAGTCGAGAAAACAAATACATAAATAATTGTAATACAATGTGGTAAATGCAGAGAGGCGCTCCACTCAAATATATATGAGAAGTCTGTGAGGAGAAATTGGTGAAAGCTTCACAGAAGTATGGTATTGAGGTGAACCTGCATTCCTTGAGCTGAAAAATAAAAAACATTCTAAGCAGGGAGGCATGAAAGTGACAGTACATTTAGGAACTAGTTTGGGATGGCAAAAGCAAAGGTTTCATAGAGAAGAGAGGTATGGGAAGAAGAAGAAAGAAAAGAAGGCTTGGAGTTAACTTTGAAGGCCATTGGATAAAGAAACAAGTATACAAGGAAAAGAACAGGTTCCGTGACTTTAAGCAAAATGACATATAACAAAATCAATTTTACCAAAGACTAAATGACATAAAAAATAGTTAACTTCCTATAGCATTTCATCAACTATATAACGAAATGAACAAATCGATGTTATTTGAAGACCTGATGTTGTACAATGAGGGTTCTTAAGCTAAATAATATGATCAGATAATTTAAAAAAATCAATCTGATGCCAGTGTTGAAGATGGACTGCAGGGGATGGAATCAGGGAGACGAATTAGGATAGTTCAGGAAGAGACTATGAACACCTAAGCTGGGGAACAAAGTGGTGGGATTGCAGAGAATAAAATTGAGTTATTTCATAGGTAACAACAATGGCACAAACTGAATATTTAAAGTCAGAATGTAAGATGACTCCAAGCAAGGCAGACATTCAAATGTAGAACAGAAAAAAGGGCAATAGACCTATGAAGTAGAGATGACATTAACATCAAAAAGTAAATTTAGTTGATTATTTTCCCATGTTTGACAATATTAATTGATCCCAAGTTGACAGTACAATTGTAAAGTTCTCTCTCTTTTTAAAAAATATTTTTATTGATTTCAGAGAGGAAGGGAGGAGGAGAGAGAGAGACAGAAATATCAAAGATGAGAGAGAATCACTGATAGGCTACCCCCTGCATGACCCACACTGGGGAGGGAGCCTACAATCCATCTGGGCATGTGCCCTGACTAGGAATTGAACCGTGACTTCCTGGCTCATAGGTCAATGCTCAACCATTGAGCCATGCCAGCCGGAAGCAAAGTTCTCTTTTGATTTGCTATATGTAGTAATAATATATCTTGCCTTTGTTTTCTTGTTGCAATTCTCTGATTTGTCTGTTTTCTTGCTGGATTCCCATAACTAATGTAGACCGTGGCCGATGTCTTGCAACTTCATTAAGTTCTTGAATTTCTTCCTGATACTAATGAAAATATTAAAAAAGAACATGTGGGAAGAAAATATTTGAAAATGTAAATCTGAGTTATATATCAGATAAGGGTCTAGTATCCAGAATATATAAAGAATTATCACAACTAAATGAATAAGAAAACCCAATTAAAAAATTGGCAAATAAGGTAAGTTCTGGGGATGTAATGTATAGCATGGTGACTATAGTTAACAATACTGTATTGTGTGTTTGAAAGTTGCTAAGAGGGTAGATCTTAAATGTTCTCACCACACACATGAAAAAGGTAATTATGTCAGGTGAGAGAAATGCTAACTAATCTTATGGCAATCACTTCACAATATATGTGTATCAAATCATCACACTGTATACTTTAAACATATACAATGTTTTATGTCAATTACATCTCAATAAAGCTGGAGGAAAAACTGGCAAAGGATTTGAAGAGACAATGCTCTAAATAAAATATACAAATGACCAATAGCACATGAAAAAATGCTTAAAATCATTAGTCACTAGGGAAATGCAATTCAATATAAGATACCACTTCATAACTGCTAGGATGGCTTTAATAAAAAAGACAAATAACAAGTGTTGGAGAGAATGTGGAGAAATTGTAACCCTCATATATTATTGATGGGAATGTAAGATATAACTACTATGAAAAACAGTCTGGCAGATCCTCAAAAAATTATACACAGAGCTATTATATGACCCATCCATTCCACTCTGAGTTATATACTCAAGATAACTGAAAACATGTCCACACAGAAACTTATACAAAAGTATTCATAGCAGTATTATTTATAATAGCCAAAACATAGAAATAATCCAAATGTCCATCAACTGATGAATAGTAGACACAATGTGACATATCCTTACAATGGAATATTATCCCATATAGAGGCCTGGTGCACGAAATTTGTGCACTGAGGGGGGGGGTCCCCTCAGCCCGGCCTGCACCCTCTTGCAGTCTGGGACCCCTCAGGGGGATCAGGCCTAAGCTGGCAGTCAGACATCCCTCTTGCAGTCAGGGGCTCTTGCAGTCCGGGACCCCTCGCTCCTTAACACTGCCTGCAACAGAGGTGGGAGAGACTCTTGCCACCACCGCTGCGCTGGCCAGCTGTGAGCCCAGCTTCTGGCAGAGAGGTGCTCCCCCTGTGGGACCGCACTGACCACCAGGGGGGAGCTCCTGCGTTGAGTGCCTGCCCCCTGGTGGTCAGTACGCATCATTGTGACTGGTCGTTCTGCCAGTCGTTTTGCATATTAGCCTTTTATTATATATGATAATAAAAGGCTAATATGCAAATTGGATTATCTATTTATATAAAAACCCTGGGTGTAACATCACGACCGAGGCTCGACCAACCGGAAGGAAGTCAGTCCTGCAGGGGTTGTCTTGGAAACGGCTGCAACCTCCCCGAGCTGTTTCCCATGAGGGCAGTGAGGTTTCAGGCAGGAACCCGCCCTCGGAGGGTGGACGCACTAAGTCCTGGGTCCTCTTAGCCACAGCTGCGCCCTCCCCAAGCTGTTTCTGGTAAGGGCAAGGTTTGAGGCAGGAACCGGCCCTAGGAGCATGGAGGCATATCTTTATAAAGTTTTAAGACATTATATTAGAGGTTGTGGTAGTACTGTTTTACCCACAGCATCTACAGAAATTGCTGCAAATTTACTTCTTGGTGGAAGCACCTTTCATTCCCAATATAAATTACCCATTCCACTAAATGAAACTTCAATTTCTAGACTTGATATAAACAGTGAAGTTGCTAAAACTATTAAAAAGGTCCAACTTCTCATTATTGATGAATGCACCATGGCATCCAGTCATGCTATAAACGCCATAGACAGATTACTAAGATAAATTTGGGAGGAGGGAGCCCCATTCCTTGTGGAATCAGCTGTTGGTCAGCTTGCTGTCAGCAGCACACCAGCCAGGAATCCCATTCACCTGCACCCTGGACCCTGACAGCAGGGAGGAGGGAATATGTCTTATAGTGAATGGTTAATAAAACTTGGAGATGGCAAACTTGATAGCAGTTTTCATTTAGGAATGGACATTATTGAAATCCCCTGTAAAATGATTTGTAATGGATCTATTATTGAAGCTACCTTTGGAAATACTATATCTATAGATAATATTAAAAATATATCTAAAC